GTGCGGCGGGAGGGCTGCTACGGGGGCCACTCGAGTGCGGGCGGAACGGCCTCGGGGGGCGGTCCTCTGTCGCCTCCCCTTTCTTCCCCGTGGACGCGGCATGTCCCTTTTTGGGGAATTCTTTCGCTCTCGCTGACTCCAGTGCGGGTGGGGCAGAGATAGGGCGCTCTCCATTTCACTGGTCCCCGGCCCTGCCCCTGGCAGCCTCCTGTCCCCAGATCTCTTCACCCCTCTCCGCAGCACCTTTCGTCGCCGCGTAAACAACTCCCTCTCTCCAACACTTCGCTTCGCGGCCCCCGGGGAGCAGCTCCTTCAATCTCGTGAGATTGATGGGGTTGGGGGAGGGGAAAAGAGAGGGGTTGTCCTGGAGCCCCTAGTCCCTGTCACTCCCCTACCCTCTCTCTCGCCCTCCCCCACCCGCTGCTGGAGCAGACGGCCCCCGGGGCCCGGGTATTTTTAGCGTTGTGACCTGGGCCGCTGCTCTAAGAGCCTTTCCCAGGAATCGGCGTCAGCGCCTCCCCCCTCCGCCGCCAGCCCTTGGCCACAAGGTCTCCCCACACTTCCTTGGCCCTTCCTGGCCCATTTGGGTTTGGGTCCCTCGCGGCCCGCTCCAGCGCCTGTGGAGCTGGCCAGGGTCTTGAATACGCTGAGTCCAGATGAGGGAGGGGAAGGCTTTCTGAGGACGATCTGGTCCTCGGGTTAGATCTTGCCTCTGGTGATAGACTCAGCCGAATGTCTGTAAGGAGATTGAGCGAATGCGAGTGAGTGCACAGGGCCTGGGCTGGCCCAGAGCTCCGCTGTTCTGGAAAGCTCTCAGCACGGGGGGTGGTCTGAAGAGGACCGCGGACCTGCCCTTCCTATGACTTTTCACTAACTAGTAGGGAGATAAGACAGTGAAGTATGCCGGAGGAGAGGAGCTGAAATAAAGACCTTGGGAGTGTAGAGATGATGGTCCTCTAAATAGCGTGGGTATCAGAGCTTTACAGTTTACAGAGCACCTCCACATGCAGTGTCTTGTGTTTGAGGCAGGTAGGACGATTTTCAGATGGGGCAACTGAGGCTAGAAAGATGATTTCCTTAAGGACCGAGCTAAGTCTGGAAATCAGGCCTGTGACTTCAGAACAGGGTTTGGAGGGGGTGGGGGTGATGGTGATGGAGGAGTGTAGAGAGAGGAGGGGAGGGGCTGCTTTAGCTTTTGTTTGCATTGTGAAGAATGGGCGGGAACCAGAGTTGCAGCACTAGTAGAAGAGTCCTCCTGCCCTGGGGTCTGTGTCCTTTCCTCTTCCCTTCTGAGCAGAGGCCCATCCATGAAATGGAAAAAGTGCCTCCCCCATCTGGGTTGGACCAGGCCCTCCAACCCCTCTCAGAGGGCATGACTCCAGACTTGAGACTCGGCATTGGCTGTGTCTGTCCCCTGAATACAGAGGAGCCTCTCTAGCCGTGCCTGGAACTGGCATCCCCTTTGTAGAGCTGGGGTCAGCTCCGCCTCTGTGTGACACTTGAAGTTGTGGTAATGGACTTTGTTTCAGGGAAGGGGTAGGAAGAAGCCAAGGCCAGAAGTGTCAGGGCTGGAACCAGAGGCCCCACTACTGGGATGCTGGCTGCCCGAGCCCAGGCCCCCACTGCATTCCCTCTCAACCTCACAGCGTGTTCTTCCACCCTCCAGGAGCTGATATGGACCCAAATCCTCGGGCAGCGCTGGAGCGCCAGCAGCTCCGCCTGCGGGAGCGGCAGAAATTCTTCGAGGACATTTTACAGCCAGAGACAGAGTTTGTCTTCCCCCTGTCCCACCTGCATCTCGAGTCGCAGAGACGTAAGTTCTAAGAACTGGGAAGTAGGATTGGGATAGAGAGGAAGTCTTGTAGGTCCTGAGTCGTGGGGGCCCCCTCCTCTCTTGTTTTCTTGGTACCCTGAACGTCTATCTCTGGACCTGACATATGTCTCTGAGCATCCTGTCGGCTCCAGCGTGGGTCCTCCTGACTTGCCCCCTTCTTGATCTGCAGCCCCCATAGGTAGTATCTCATCCATGGAAGTGAATGTGGACACACTGGAGCAAGTGGAACTTATTGACCTTGGGGATCAGGACGGAGCAGACGTGTTCTTGCCTTGTGAAGATCCTCCACCAACCCCCCAGACGTCTGGTATGCCCTTCTGCTAGGACTTGGGCACCAGTTAGCCAGGGCCGGATGTCGGGGCTCTGAAGGGAGGCTGCAAGGCTGGACTAGGGAAGTGTACATGTCAGGGTTTGAAGGGGGCGGTTCCACCAATGAAACAGCTGTCTGTTCTGATTTTAGAGAAGTTGACCCTGAGGAGAACTAGGTTATAGATCCCCAATCCAAAAATCTAGGAATGCCCAACCCCCTCAGACTTTGTTAATTTTACATTCGTGAAATTAATGTAATTAAAATAATATAAACATGTAATTTTTACATTAAATAACTTAAACCATTTCAGTCATCTTAATAATAGTATTTATTGAATACTTCATATTTCTAATACTGTTAGAATACAAATATTATCTCAATCCTTGCAATGTCCTGTTAAGGCAGGTGGTATTATTTCCATTTTCTAAAGAAGAAAATTAGACTCGGAGAAATTGTCACAAAGCTAGAAAGTAGAAAAGCTTGGTTCAAACCATGGCTCTCTGACTCCAAAGCCCATATGCTTAACTCTAAGAGAGATTCTCTTATTTGAGACTGCTGCTATTAATTCATAGCCTACTATTTGCCAGACATTTTATAAGCACGCTTAGATTTCATCCTCAAAACCCTTCTGGAATGTGGGTGTCCCTTTTTTTTTTTTACAAAGGAGAAGCAGAATCCTTGAGAGGGAAAGTGACTTGCCTAAAGCTACTCAGTAGCAAGTAAGTGACTTAGGTAGAACTTGGAACTCTTGAATTGATTGGCATGACTCTAGAGCCCAGACATGATCCCAAAAGTAGAAGGAGCTGGGAGTCAGGAGACCTGGCTCTTTGCTGAACTGGCTAAGTGACTTTGGACAGGTTCCTGCCCCTATCCGGGCTTCAGTCTCTCCTGGCCAGATCACATCTGAGTCCGCTGAAGCCTTGTTTGTGAGCCTGATCAGCTTTTCTCTCTGGGCAGGGCTGGTCGACCATCCAGAGGAGCTGGGCCTGCCCATGCACACGCCAGGCAGGACCACATCCCGTGCTTCCTCTTCATCTTCTGACTCCTCCACAAACCTGCACAGCCCAAATCCCAGCGACGGTGGAGCAGACACGCCCTTGGCACAGTCTGATGATGAGGAGGATGGGGGTGATGGAGGAGCAGAGTCTGGAGCCTGCAGCTAGCAGTGGGCCTCCACCTATGGACTGACTGCACGGGCTGTTCTCCACACAGGACCCTAAGCCCCACCAGAGCCCTTCGGAGAAGACCCAACTCTACTTGGAGTAGGCACCAGAGGGAGGAAAGGATGGTGGGGTGTGTACCTCCCTGGGAATTAACCCTCTCCTGCTTTCCTGCTAACCTCTTCCTGCTGCAACCCTGCCACCAGTTTTTGGCTTACTACTGAGGTAGAGCTTACAAGCAAGGAGATGGAGATGAGGTAGGACAAGATGCCACTGCTTTTCTTAGCGCTCCTCCCTCCCCCAAACTATCCTTCAGTCTCCTAACAGAATCTCCTCCACCAGTGTCTCTAAATGGACATGAACTCCTTAGTACTCAAGTGAGGTGGTACTCCAGCCATCCTGCTTCCTTACACCTTTTGGAACAGGGCACGGTATAAATAATAAACAAATAATAACGTACCAACCATTCTACTTCTTTTTTTCACATTGCAAAGATATCCAACCCAGTATATTTCTTTAGCTCTCTAACCAATACCACATTCCCCTCACTCATTTACTCTATTTATTCACGAAATATTTATTAAACACCTGTGCTGGACATTCGGGATACAGTTTTGAATAAGACAGGCTTTATCCCTACTCCATAGAGTTTACTGTTTCTGGAGAAGACGAAGTAACAGCACAATTCACAGTGTAATAAGTAGCATGACAAGGAACCACTGTGGTATCAGAACATAGGGGCATCTTAACCTAGCTTGTATGATCACAGGAGCTAATTTTTAAGCTGAGATCCAAGAGATGAGTAGGAGTTAGCTAGGCAGGGCTATAATCCAGGCAGAAGGAGCAGCTCGGACTTTAAATGGGGAACAGTGGCCTTGAGGAACTGAAAAACATTCAGCTTGGCTGAATTGTTGAATTTGAGGTGGAAATGAAGAGAGAGGTAAGAATGGCAAAGGTCACGTTATGAAATGCTTAGAAGACTGTATTGAGTTTCAATCTGACTGTTAGTAAAATATCACTGACAAGATAACATTTGTGCCCTCATATAAAAGAGGTCTAAAATACAGGGTTCTGTGGCCATTGCAGAGTTGGTAGGTACGAGGGTCCTGTTGGCCTCTTTTTGCTCAGCCATCCCAGGCACATGGCTTGCATTCCCCATTTATATTTCATGTCTAAAATGGCTGTTGAAGCTCCCACCGGCATGTCCTTGAAACTGGCAGAAAGGAGGAGGAGAAATTGAGGATGAGCAAAGCACACCTAGCTGTCTGTTCCCATGTCAAGAAGCATATCCGGAAGTTCTAACCAGCACCATCCGCTTTCATCTCATTAGGAGGAGAAATTGAGGATGAGCAAAGCACACACCTAGCTGTCTGTTCCCGTGTCAAGAAGCATATCTGGAAGTTCTAACCAGCACCATCCGCTTTCATCTCATTGGCCGGAACTTGCTAACATGAGAAATGTTTCATTTACGGACATTTCGTAGACGGGGCCAGCCTTATCCAGGAGAAAGGAAATTCTGGTTTGGAAAGACAATAATCCTTTCAAGTCACTGAATTACCAATACATCTGATTTCTGTACTACCTTTCAAACTTCTCAGAGACACACTGGCCCCTGGGAAGGCTGGGATAGCCCACGCTGCCGTCTTTCTAAGGTCAGGGTTATTTTACTAAAGAAAAAGAGGATGAGTTAGGGTTAGGGTTAGGGTCTTTGGAAAGGTAACTAGCAGCTTACATGTTAGAGGCTATGTTGATGAATTTGAACTTTATTGAGAGTAATGAAAGATTATGGGAGGTTGAATTTGCCTGTTAAAAAGATAATTCTGGCTGCAGTGTAGAGAATGTACTGGAGGAGGACAGGGTCAAGACAGACATATAATACAGTCTATGCAAGAGATAACAGTGGCCCAGAAGATTGTGGTGATGATTAGTTTCAGTGGGTTGAGGCAGTATATAAACAAATGACATCCATTCAGTGAGACACTGAGCATGGCTTTGTGGATGTAGTAGTGGCAAAAAAAGACACAGTCCTGCTCTTATGGGGTTTAGAGTCTAGTGGGAGCCCAAATGGAAACTGCCACTATGATTAGTGCTAGGAGAGAGTTAATAGCCTATACAGAGAAGTCACAAGATGTTTCCCTTGAGGGGGTGGCATTTGAGCTGATATCTGAAGGATGAGTAGGAGTAAGCTACCAGAATGGCTGGTAGGCCTCCTACAAGGAGTACTGATCGGAGGGGACCAAAGTGGATATCTAGAGACCAGGAGATTATAGCCATCTAGATAAGCAGTAATGGACTAGGGTGGAGGTAGTGGGGATGTAGAGTGGAAGGATGAAGAGATATTTAGGAAGCAAATTCCAAAAGATTCGATAGGTGGGTGTGAGAAAGGAAGGGGTCAAGGATGCCACCATTGTTTGTGCCTATGCAACAGGATGATTTGGAGGGTGCTTTACCCAGATGGGAAGTTTAGGAGAGAACCAGGTTTGGGAAGGTCATAAATTTGGTTTTGGACATGATGAGTTTGAGATGTCCAAGAGGACATGTTGAGTAGGCACTAGGACCCATGAATGTGGGATTTATATGATAGGATTGGGTTAAAAAATAAATATGTGAGTTATCAATGAATGGGTGGTAAGTGAAGCCATGGACGTGAATGAACTTGCCCAGGGAGAGAGTGGAATGAAAGGGTTATAGGACTCAGCCTTAAAGAACATGAATTCATTTCTCACATTAGAAAAAAAAAACAATAATTCCACCTCCCTTCAAACATCAAAAACCACCCATGGGATCAACAACTTTCAGCCTAAATCTCAAAGCTTTTTGTGCCACCCAGGCTGAGTGACAAGGTGGCAGTCTTCCCATAGTCCCATCCTGCTTTCCCCTCTGCAGGAGGCCATTGTAAGTGACAGTTTTTAAGTGCTTTTCCTAGCGCTCGGAAGAAACTTGTGGGAGTTTTGTGCTCTTTTTGTCTAAAAGCCTCCGTGTGCCAGTTGAGATCATCTACTGAGCTAGGCCAGGGCCCAGTATCATGTTAAATTTTGCAGTTTGTTTATGGCTAGATTGTATATGGCTTTGTTGCACACATAGTCTCTGTTGTCTTGTTACTTCTCCCTTCTTTTGAAGCAAGGCTCAACTTCGTATCTGACTGTGGTCGAGCCTTCTCCTGGGCTCCAGCCCATGAACTCTGCAGCTCTGCTTTGCAGGGGTTCTCAGCTCCCGGGATCACCCCACTTCCCCCAAGATGAGTGATGGGAAGCTAGGCTAGCGTGATTGCTATCAACATGTCAACAAACCTCTTAGTACCCCAGGCACATGATAGGATCTGTGGGGTTTGGGGCAGGGAGCCTGCATGAGAGGAGGGATCTATAGCCCTCTGGAGAGGTAGAATTGTTTGTGAGCCTATGGGGAGCCTTCAGTTCAGCTATTATGAGTCCCAGCCCTGCCTGGAAAAGTCTAGGGTCAGCTTAGATCCCAGGACCACTTCCTGGTTGGACAATGACCTCTTCTTCTGCCAAACCACAGGGGCTTGGCTGGCCTTCAGTGCCAGCATCCGCAGCTGTCTGTCTTTTGAGGCAACATTGTGCCCCTGGAGATGGGAGGATGATTTAGAGCCAACTCTGAGGCAAGCAGCCCAGTTTTCAGTCTCTAAGCCACAGTGTGGCTGCTTCTGTCTGTTGCACAGACTTGTCATAGACTCTGGAGAAGAAGGAAGAAGATGAACTCATCCTGTAGAATCCTGTGTTGTGGAGGAAATAGGAGGGACCACAACTCGGGGGAAGATTCTGTAGAAGGTTCCCACTGTAGCAGTCCCCAGGAGTGCACAGAACTTGATACTATGAGTAGCATGGCAGTGTGGGGGACACATGGAACTGTGCTATGATATTGTCCTGTGCGTTTGTTCATTCCAACATTATTGAGCACCTACTATATGCTAGCCTCCTTGCTTAGGCAACAAAATACTAAGGTGACCAAGAACTCTTCCAGGAGCAGACATGGTCACGGATAATGGAAATATAATGTGGGCTATAGCAGAAATGCACAGAGGACTGTAGCACACTGGAGAGGAAGAAGGTAAGTCTCTGGAGGTAGCTGGGTCTTCAATGATGAGGACAGACAATTTTAAAAAGAAAGAAAGCATAGAAATACAAAATAATCATAATTATATGATGGTGGCAGTTCCCCCCAACCCCCTTTTTTTTTTTAATTTTGAGATTGATAGTGTGTCCTCTAGTCCTGGCTTCATCACTCACTGTGATCTTAGGCAATTATCTCAGTTTCTTTACCTCAGTTTTCTCATCTGTAAAATGGAGATATTAGTATCTACCACAAAGAATTGTTTGAGTAAATGTTATTAAGCATTTAATACATTCCAGATCCCACATGTACATTACTTGTAATCCTTACAACCCTAAAAGTAGGTTTATCCATTTTGTAGAGGAGGAAAATTTATCTGTATTAGAAGAGGAAAAGTGACACTCAGGTTGCTCATGCTCATGTGGATTAAAGGCTGGTATGAGGATTTTGAACCAATATCTCTCTGACTTCTAAACTCATGGCCTGCCTTCTATTCCATGTCTACTGGGACAGGAATACTGGGTGTAGGTAGAGTGAAGTTATAATGAGATAAAGCCACCTTTTTTGACACTTCCTCTCTGGTCGATTGGGGTATATCTTGTCAGACCTGTGTGACACCAAATTTGGCTCTTCATAGAAGTATAGTTGTGAGTTTTACCAAGAGATTGTGCGCAAAATTCATCATAAATGTGTTCTCCATAGAGCAGCTGGAAAAACTAAGGCAGGAATTAAACATTTGAACTCTTACACCTCAATAATAAAAAGGCAAACCAGCCAATAAAAAAGAGGGGAGGATGCAAAAACTTCACGAAGTATATGACTGGCCAATAAGCACATGAGAAGATGCTCAACATCATTAGGTACCAGAGAAATGCAAATTAAAGTCATAACGAGCTACCACTACTTACATACCCACATGGCTAAAATGAAAAAGTCAAAAAAATTAAAAACAAATGTTGACCAAGAACTCTCATACATTGTTAGTACAAGTATAAAATGACACATTTTGGAGAAAGGTCTGGCAGTTTCTTATAAAATTAAACATACACCTAACTTACTCTTTGACTACTCCTAAATATTTACCCAAGGTAAATATGATAAAAATAATAAACACACGTCTGCAAATGTTTATCATAAAAATGATAAACGTTTGCCAATTAAATTGTAGAGTGGCCTAGGTCATAATAACTAAAAACTTGAAAGAGCTCAGGTATCCATCAAAGAGACAGATAAACTATGGTATATTCATAAAATGAAATACAGCAATAAAAAGAAACAAACTGCTGATACATGCAAGAACAGGGATGATTTTCAAAAACATTCTTTTCATGAAAGAAGCCTTACACAATAAAGTATAAATACTATATGATGATTTCATTCATATGAAGCTCTAGGACAGATTATTTTGAGGAAAGAAATCAGAAGTGGTTGCCTCTGGAAGGTCGGGGGGCAGAGATTGACTGGCAAGGGGCATTAGCCAACTTTTTGGGGTTTTAGGAATGTTCTAGATTTTCATTGTAGTTTCCTTTACCCAGGCGTCTGCATTTGTCAGACTCAGTGAATGCACTTCAGAGTTGTGCGTTTCATCATATGTAAATTTTACACCAAAAGAAAAACATAAACAAATATTGAACTCTAATGATAACACATGCTGAAATATTTAGCGAGAAGTGTACCTATGTCTGTAATTTACTTTGAAATGCATTAAAACATAAGATGAATTGAGGGATTTATACACTGAAATGTATAGTAAAATCTTAATGGCGAAATCTAGATGATAGGGAAACATGTTCATTCTTTCAACTTTGCTGTACGTTTGAAATTTTTCATAAGAAAAGAGCCAGTTATTTAGGGGTTTGCAGCAAAGCTCCGCCACCAGAGGAGCTGGCTAAGCTTAGGATCGAACAAATGGAGACACTAGAAGCCGAGGGAGGCAGGAGCCAAGCAGTGTCGCCTCACCAAAGTAAGTCTCTTTTTCAGTCTTTTTCTTCAACTATCACAAAGGCACAACAGCAGTGGCGGCACTCGGTATAATAAATCACTTTCTCGTGGGTGAAAATACCTGAAAGTTGGGGGAATCCTCAATCCATCCCCCAGCTACGCTTCACGCCCACCGCTCTTGATGCACTCCCAGAGCCCACTTACACCCACTAGCCTGGAAGGGCCTAGCCAGGCCGTTGCTCTGGTAACCGCACCCCGGTTTCCGGGACGGTACCGGAAGTCACTTCTCGTACGCTCTCTCTATTGGAGGCCGGCTTGCCGTTAGGCGGGCCCCGCTGCGAGGCGGAAGCAGCCGCAGGCATGGCGGCGGCCCTGCCGCTCGCTGTGCTCTTGCTGCTGCTCCTAGGGCCCGGCGGCTGGGTCCATGCACAGACCCCACGCGACAGCCTGCGAGAGGAGCTCGTCATCACCCCGCTGCCTTCTGGAGACGTAGCCGCCACATTCCAGTTCCGTACACTCTGGGATTCGGAGCTGCAGCAGGGAGAAGGTGAGAGGACTATACTGATGGGACAAAGATATCTGTGGCACCTGCTGGGAGTGGGTTGGAGGCACGCCTTGGGTGGGGTTCTGGGCCGGGGGCGTGAAGCCGGACAAAGTGAGACCTTGGGGGACTGCCTTCTGGAGACGTAGCCGCCACATTCCAGTTCCGTACACTCTGGGATTCGGAGCTGCAGCAGGGAGAAGGTGAGAGGACTGTACTGATGGGACAAAGATATCTGTGGCACCTGCTGGGAGTGGGTTGGAGGCACGCCTTGGGGTTCTGGGCCGTGGGCGTGAAGCCGGACAAAGTGAGACCTTGGGGGAAGGCTAGGATAGTTACTGAAGAACCCCGTTGTACCGTTGGCGGAACTAAGGCCTGGAGATGGGCAGTGGCTTCTGACTCCTAGTCCAGTGCACTTTCCGCATCTTCAGGCTGCCCATTCAGTTAGAGCTCCCTGCCGACCATGTTGATGATGATGCTGTTGGCGGTTATCATTTATACTGGGTGCTACGCCCAGTGCTAAGTTCTGTGAAAGATTACTAGGAAGAAACTAGAGGTGTAGAGATAAAGGCACCTGTTCATGATCACATCGCTGGTAAATGGCAGTCTGGTCTGGAATTCAGATCTCTCTGACGCCAGAGCCTGAGTCTACTTTTTCTTTGTAGTGGCTGAGAACCTTTCCTCCAGGATCATCACTCACCTGCTTCCCCTTCTCCAGTGTCTCATTATAGGCTCTTCCCAAAGGCCCTGGGGCAATTGATCTCCAAGTATTCTCTCCGGGAGCTGCACCTGTCACTCACGCAAGGCTTTTGGAGGACTAGATACTGGGGACCACCCTTCCTGCAGGCCCCATCAGGTGCAGAGCTCTGGGTCTGGTTCCAAGACACCGTCACTGAGTGAGTGCCCACCCTGAGGCCTGATGCAGGCCGTGGAGGGAATGTGGCAGGGGAAGGTGTTGTCATCCTGCCACTGCCTTTGGGGGCAGCAGTTCCAGCAGGCAGCAATTCCATGGGGGTAAAGCCGCATTGGAAGTAAGAAATAATATTATCTCTGAGTGACATTCTTTATTTTGCTGAATATACTTCTTTCTCTTACTACTTCCAAACCTGAAGTATGCATATCTCTACAGAGGCAGATAAATAATTGAAGCTTATTTGGATGTAAGGGAGTAGAAAACTGGCAAATTGGATAACCTTTTAAAAGACATTCACTCAATAGTAATCATAATCATAATAAATACTATGAAGGCCAAACAAAACATCAGTGGGCTAGAATTGGCCTACAAGATGCCAGATCTCCGTATTAGAGGAATTGCTTTCGTTTGGGAGGGGGCACTGCTGGACAACAGTTTCCTCCTAATTCCACTATGAGAAATCAATAGCACAAGTATGATAAAAAAAAAAATGTTTAGGGCATAATAGGGAGTGGTGGGGGACTGTGGCAGGTAAGAGAGCTTGAGAGGACAGCTGCCAGTCATCCCCTATGGATTGTCGCCATGTGAGAATAGAGGTCCACTGTTGTCAGATACTTTCATTTTTTTAAGAGATACGAGAAATCTGTGAAAATTGGTAAATTTAAATATCAAGAAATTTAAAAATGTAAGACATGCTATGTGGGTCAGTGTCGTGCACACCAAATGACACCTGGTTTGGGTTTGGGTAGAGCTTTTAGGCTTCCAATGTGCAATCTTTATTTGAGGCTTATGGCATGGAGCAATCGAAAAGCTCTGAACAGAGGATTATTGAAAAACTCCAGGGCAGCACTAAGGTGAAATCAAATAAGGAGCAAGCAGTGACCCACAAACTTGCCAAGCCTTTCTCTCTTGCCTGAAAGCTGACTCCCTTGCCTTTTTTCCCATCTGCTCTGCTGTCACTGTCCTTCCTCAGCTTGTAAGAGCCTATAATATGGAGCTGTTCTACTTTTATGCTTTCTATGATTAATAGAGCAAATCTGTTTTGATATTTCTCTAAGAAAAAAATGCCTAATTTAATTTGATGTTTTTTTGGGGGGTCCTAGAATGGTTGTTTTTCTCTCATTCGTCAAGCCTTTATAGATGTAAGACTCCCCAGCCTGAAGGTAGAACCAGAACTTACCTTCCTGCCCAGGATAATCACAGGAAAGTATGTCGTTTTGCCCAGCTGAGCACACCTCAGCGTGGATCAGTAAGCTGAGGTCAGTGTAGAGCACTTTACATGGTTTCGTGAAACATACGTAGGTGATCCAGACTTACTCCCTGTCCTCAGGTTGCTCACAGCCAGGTTGAAGAGAAATGATCTACCAGCTAGCCATTTCCCACAAGAGACCTAGTGAGAGGCTCGGATGGTCAGACCCACAGCAGCACAGGTGGAGGCTGTGGTTGAGAAGGGCAGGAAAGACTTCCTGGAGGAGGGAGCCTCTGTGAAGGTGGGCAGAGAGGAGTAAGTAGGGCATTCCCAGGCGGGAGGAATCACCTGAGGGGCTGCAGGGATACCCAGAGGAGAGCGAGGAGGAAGGGGCTGAGCAGCAGCAGCAATGCTGTTCCAGCTCCATCGACTAGCCAGCCTAATGGTATGGCGGCCTACTGCAGGCTTCGAGAAGGGAGCAGAGGCAGCCTTGGGACAGTGAGGGGGTTTGTGTCTCCATCCAGTGTGGACAAGTCTTGGAAGGAGCTCAGTAACGTCCTCTCAGGGATCTTCTGCGCCTCTCTCAACTTCATCGACTCCACCAACACAGTCACTCCCACTGCCTCCTTCAAACCTTTGGGGCTGGCCAATGGTGAGAAGCCCCTGTGGCCCTCCCCTTCTTCCTGTTACCTCTTGCCCAAACCTTTGCCTCCTTTCCCCTCGGCTTCCTCCATCTTCAGCTGGGCCAGATCATAAATTTTCTGGGTGTGCAGACTGCAGAAGCAGGCTTCCGGAGACTGTGCTGTCTCTGCATTGCCTTCTTCTGAGGGGAGGAGAGGGTCCTGCCCCCAGCTGGGACTGGCGGCAGTGCTAGAGATGTACGAGGAGCAGGAGGGGTCACTCCCATCTCTAGAGTGTGGATCCTGAGGATCGAGGTCCCAGGACCTACCCAGACAGACTTCTGTCCCTCAGGCACCGATCACTATTTCCTGCGCTATGCTGTGCTGCCGCGGGAGGTGGTTTGTACTGAGAACCTCACTCCGTGGAAGAAGCTCTTGCCCTGTAGTTCCAAGGTGAGGCCAGAGCGGTCTGAATGTGGATGGGGGCCCCAGAGAATGGGTGGAGTTGGCAGTGTGCCCAGGTACCCCACTGTGCAGGGCACTCACCTTTCATCTCTTCCCGCCTCCTCCAGGCAGGCCTCTCTGTGCTGCTGAAGGCTGATCGCTTGTTCCACACTAGCTACCACTCCCAGGCAGTGCATATCCGTCCTGTGTGCAGAGTAAGTCATGGGGAATGGGGGTGAATGCCATCCAGAGGCTCTGAGAGAACGTGCAAGTAAAGCAGTGTCTGTCAAGGGCTGAGCCAGTAGTAAGTGGTAGATGTCATGATGATTTCTCGGGTCGTTGGCCACATACCAGGGAAACTGAGTGGGTGCCTGGCAGGCTTTCAGTAAATCTGTCATGGCGCACAGTGGTCGGAATAGCTGTGCTGATGCTAGCTCAGTCACTTGCTAGCTGGCATGACCTTGAACAAATCATTTTATTTCCCTGAGTCTGGATTTCTTACCTGTCAAATGACAATAATAGTAGTAGTAGTTCCTATAGTTGTTGGCAATGGTTCATCTAACCGATGTACATCAAGCTGCTGGCACAATAGTGCTCAGTAGTGCGTGGTAGCAAATCAATGGATGTGAAGAGGCATAGTAGACAAAGGACTGAATCCAGGTAGGAGTCCCTGAGGCTCTGTGGTTGGGGGACTGGCCCATCCTCATTGCTGCTGTCTGGCCCTTGTGGTAGAATGCACGCTGTACCAGCATCTCCTGGGAACTAAGGCAGACCCTTTCTGTTGTATTCGATGCCTTCGTCACTGGGCAGGGGAAGAAAGGTAAGCTACCATGGCAACTCATCCCTACCCACTTACTGCCAGCCTCACCCTGTTTATGCGAACCAGGCCTGGTCCCAGCTCCTGCCCAAACCTGCTCTCTGCTCCTCAGATTGGTCCCTCTTCCGGATGTTCTCCCGAACCCTCACAGAGCCCTGCCCCCTGGCTTCAGAGAGCCGAGTCTATGTTGACGTCACCAGCTATAACCAGGTACCAAGGTCTCCAGCCGCATACATCGCCCCCGTCCCCAAGGCCAGCCTGCCTCTCTGCTGTCTTCTCAGCCCTGCCCTTGTGTCTCCAGGACAATGAGACATTGGAGGTGAACCCGCCCCCCCTCAGCACATACCAGGATGTCATCCTGGGCACCCGGAAGACCTATGCTGTCTACGACTTGTTCAATACGGCTGTAATCAACAACTCCCGCAACCTCAACCTCCAGCTCAAGTGGAAGAGACCCTTGGAGCATGGTGGGTGAGGGTGGGCCACAGCAGGCTATGGAGATGTCATCTCTTGGGGGCAACTCACAGTCCTTTCTTGTCACCATGAGTTAGTTAACAGGCTTGTGTTTAGACCCGGATCTCTGGAGTCAGCCATCCTGCTTCTAACTCCACCTTGTCAAAGCTCCATGACCTTGGACAGGTTCCTAATCTTACTGCCTCATCTGGAAAACAAGGACAGTAATACCTAGTAGATTGGACAAGATAATTAATGTAAAACATGGAGTTTGTCCATGCATCCATTTAATCAACAAATATTTTTCGAAGATGGAAGGTTCCCTGCATTTGGGAAACATAATGTCTGCTAGTTGAGGCAGGTGTCAAACAGGTCATTGTGATTGTTCAGTGTTAGCAAGGAAGACTGCAGCAGATCATGAGAACACAGAGCTGGAAGGGGCACAGAGCTCAGCACATATAAGCACTTAGGGAATAATAGTGATTCTGTTATCGCCGTGAGCTGGGGAGGGCCAGGCTGATTCCAGAATGTAGGTATCCCACTTCTGCTGGCAAAGCCTCCCGTGTTCCCTCCCCGGCTTCGAGACTGTGGATGTGGCTAGGGAGTGGTGGCAGGGGGAGTGGCCCTTTCCTCTAGGAGGTGTTAACTGCTGACCTTGCTCTACACAGAGGCCCTGCCAGTGCCCTTCCTGCACGCCCAGCGATACGTGAGTGGCTACGGGCTGCAGAGCGGGGAGCTGAACACTCTGCTGTACAACACCCACCCGTACCGGGCCTTCCCTGTGCTGCTGCTGGACACCGTGCCCTGGTACCTGCGGCTATATGTGCATACCCTCACCATCACCTCCAAGGGCAAGGAGAACAAACCAAGTGAGAGCCGAGTCCCGAGCCAGGCCCCCTGCCCCTACCCACCCCGGCTCAGTCTCCCTCCAGGTCCCCCAGGCCTCATCGCTCTGGGGAATTCCTCAGAAGAGCCACCCAGGTGGGAAGAGTTAGAAATCGTTTGAAGAATGGAAAGGGTAGCCTCACCAATGCCAGATCTGGAAGTAATCTGTAAGCAAAAATAATTAAAACACATAGTACTGGTGATTCTTAACTGGACCTTAGGAGGGCAGTAGTTTTCTTACCTTTCTCACTTACTTTCTTTTTCCTGGTGCCTCAGGCACAGTCTTTTGTGATGATTCACGGAGAGAGGGCTAGCAAGAAGAACAGAATATTAGGAGCAAAGAAGATAACACCTTGCTTCCTTGGGAGGGGCAAAGTGGTGTCGTTTTTAAATTTTATTTTTATTATTTTTCTAAAGAGGAGTTACTATTTCCTGAGTGCTTTCTGTTACGTGCCAGGCATGGCTCTAAAGCACGTGTTTTTTCTCTGGAGTGGAGGGAGCCTGATTCCACAGAAAGACTTCTGGGAGGCGGTTATATGTAGCACAGATTTAAAGTCTTTAAGCCCCTCTTTCCCCCCATATTTTCAAGCCTGTGGTTAATAGTTTTATTTATTTTCATCACCACTGTTTGTACTGCTTTCAGAATCTCTATTTTGAACATCCAACCTATGTATTTTGTAGGTTTTTGTTTTATTTTTTTTACCTTTTGCTCTGGAAAATCTCACACACACCCCCAAATGGAAGTGTAATCAGTTCTCACGTACCCATCTCCAGCTTCCTGTCATTTCTGTTTCATCTCTCCCCTTATTTTATTTTTTTGGTTTGGTTATTTTTTTTTTCTGGATTATCTTAAAACAAGTCCTAGACATTATAGCAATTCACCTTTAAATACTTCAGTATATATCTCTAACAGATAAAGGACTTTAAAAAAATACAGCCTATCATTACCACTCCTATTTTCCCCAACAGTCTTCCAAATAGGTTTTTGTAACTGCTTTGTTTGAATTGGGATCTAAACAAAGTCCTCATGTCGCATTTATTTTATATGCTCTCAAGTTTCTCTCTTTTTGATTAATAGACTTTATTTTTTAGAGCGGTTTTAGATTTATGGAAAAAATGAGCAGAAAGTACAGTAGTTCTCATATATACCCTGTCGCCCTACCTACAGCTTCTCGTTATTAATATCTTGTATCCATGTGGTGCTCTTAGGTCTCTTTTAATCTTTAACCATTCTCATTCTTTTTTGTAAAAATATATTTGTGGGACAGACTAGACATTTGTTGTACAGAATGTTCTGCGTTCTGAATTTGTCCTTCTTTCAGCGTTTAGCATGTTCCTCCATCCCTTGTTTTTCTCGAGTCTTGGTAGTTAGTATTAGAGACATGGTTAGGTTCAGGTCCCACATCTTTTGGCAGGAAAACGTCCCAGGTGGTTCTGTGAACTTCCTGTTGCATCCCATGAGGCACCTGACGTCTGCCGCCCAGTTTTTATGCTGCGAAGGTTGATTAGTTGTGTCCCCGGCTCTGGATAGTCTCTCTTGAACACATCCTGGGATGGCCGCCCTGGAAACATCTCCTTGTTCGGAGACCTTGCTCCCTTCCTTGAGCCTGCCTGGCTTCTGTGACTCAGAGCACACCTTCTGGGCACATGGATCCAGGCCCCAAGGCTTCGATAGGTGGGGCAGGATGATGTGCAGGTAGTCTGACCTTAGAAAAAAGGTATGGGTTACCCTTGACCCTTGTGTGTCTCCAGGTTACATCCACTACCAGCCTGCCCAGGACCGGCTGCAGCCCCACCTCCTAGAGATGCTGATTCAGCTGCCAGCCAACTCGGTCACCAAGGTCTCCATCCAGTTTGAGCGGGCACTGCTCAAGTGGACTGAGTACACCCCGGACCCCAACCATGGCTTCTATGTCAGGTGAGCTCTGCCCTACATGCCGCCCCGCCCTCTAGTCTACCTTCTCTGCCACTAACCCTGGGTGGGGAGCACATGAGGAACACGGCTCACGGAATACCCGCCTGCTTCTCTGCAGCCCGTCCGTCCTCAGTGCCCTCGTGCCCAGCGTGGTAGCAGCCAAGCCCGTGGACTGGGAGGAGATCCCCCTCTTCAACAGCCTGTAAGTGTGCTTCGGGGTGGATATTGGCACAGATGGTCTGGTCCCTGCAGGGTAGGTCAGAGCCGGGTGTTGCCTCTCCCAAGGCAACATGGGATTTGACTCAGTCCTAATGAAAGTCCTAGTGATTCTAAAGTGCTTCTAGAAGAATAAATAGGTGAGAAGAACAGTATTTATAGCCTGCAAATACTCTTCGATTCTCTCAACAAATATTTGGTTGAGTGCTTATCGAACGCCGGGTGCTTCAGAGAGCGCGACAGTGAACAAAACCGCCTCGCCCCCACCCCACTAGTGCTGATAGTCTGGAGCGGGCTTTGTGCTCCGGAGAGTGGTGGGGGCCGAGGCGCCGCCGGGAGTCATCGCGCGTGTTATCCAGGCGGGCTTCTCTGAGGGCTTGGCCTTTAGGCTGAGACCAGGAAGGCTGAGGAGGAGGCAGCCAGGCGAGGCAGGGCCTCTATCCTCTCCCGGAACTAGGCAGCTCTCCGTCAGGTCCACGTAGTGAGCTTTCATCTGAGATCTCTTCTGTTGAAAAGGTTTGGAGGCTAAGAAAAGTTTGAAAAGCCTTCCCGCTGAGCGCTGGCCCAGCACAGCCCCAAAGGGGACGGGGTAAGACAGGCAGGGGCAGCGGCCCTGCATCACCTTTCTTCCTGACCCCCAGGTTCCCAGTCTCGGACAGTTCTAGCTACTTCGTGCGGCTCTACACGGAGCCGCTGCTGGTGAACCTGCCAACGCCAGACTTCAGCATGCCCTACAACGTCATCTGCCTCACGTGCACGGTGGTGGCCGTGTGCTATGGCTCCTTCTACAATCTTCTTACCCGAACCTTCCACATCGAGGAGCCCAAAACGGGTGGCCTGGCCAGGAAGCTGGCTAACCTCATCCGCCGTGCCCGTGGTGTCCCCCCACTCTGAGACTTGACCTTGTCACAGCTGGGGCTGCTGTTTCTCTCTGGGAAGGGGTGGTGGTGACCCCAAGGGCCATTTCTGCCACTTGCTGTCCCCAGACTTGGCTCTTAAACCAAACTGTCCCTGGACTAGGCCAGGACATGGAGCTGTACTGTGCCATACAGTAGCCACAAGCCAAATATGGCATTTGAATTTAAATAAATTTAAATTAAAAATTCATTTCCTCAGCTGTGCTAACTGCATTGCCAGTGCTCAGTAACCGAAAGTGGTTAATGGCTACTGTATTGGACATGCGGACAGACATTTCCATCATTGTAGAAAATTCTGTTGGACGGCACTGCCCTAGGTAGTGGGTGTGCTACAGATTCGTTTCACTGTGTGGTAGATGGAATTTACTGGTTGTGGAATAAAAAGTGACTGCTTCCTTGCTTCTTTGCCTTTTGTCTCCTTGAGGCCTGGGAAGAGCTGGGTAGGGACCAGGCTTGTTTGCTGGGTACCTGAACAGGAACTCCTACCCCCCACAAAAAACTAAAGTCCCCTATCTTCTCCCACCCCTCTTCCTCCCCCTCTGGCCTCATCTGACTGTAATTCCCAGAACTCCCTGGGCTTGGCGGGGCATGTTTATGTCTGCGCATCCATGACCACAAAAATGAATCATCCTCTGCCTTTTCTTAGGAGCACTGAGAACTGGTCCCCCATCACCGAGGTAGAGCTGGAGAGGTAGGAGAGCTGCGTGTGGCATTTTTCTGACTGGATTGTGTACCACGGTCATGTGGGGCTCTTGTGAAAATAGTACGGATCCCTCGGGTCCAGACCCCATGGATTCCGTCGGTCTGGGTGAGGCCCAGCCTTCAAATATTTATCAGGCTCTTCACGAGCTTGTGTTGTAGGTAGTCCATAGACCACTCACAGGCTTCGAAGCCAGGCCCATTAGATCGAAGCCTGCCTCTACCCACCTACCTTCCGGTTATGGAACCCTGGATTCCTATAAAATAAGTCCTTAGGTGGATGCCTGTCCCTACCCCCATCTTCTGTGTCTTCCTCTGACACAATTGGCATCAACCGTATAAGTTACTTTTGGTCTGTCCCTCTCTCCCAATTCTTCCATCATAGTGGTTTGGCTTAGAACGCCATGTTCCACCAACCACACCCCCCACACCCCTCCAGCTGCCTGGTGCTCTCTTACTTACAAAACCATTATGAGATGTTCTTCCTCCAGGAAGTCTTCCCTGATACACCAGGCTGCTGTAGGCTCCCCTTTCCTCTGCTCCTACAACTCCCTGGACTTACTACCTATCGCTATCACACTGGTTGTCATTGTCCTTTAACTTCTATTAGACTAAGGGCTTCCCGAAGGCACAGGACAGGGCCTGTCTTCCAGTCCGGACCTGACGCAGCTCAGGACATGTAGGTGCCCAGTCAGCAAATGGTAAATGTGCAAATGGGTGCGGGCTCTTCTGGCTCGGGATCTGGGGTCCAGGGGCAAAGATGGGTGGAGTGAGGGGCGCCTATAAATCCCACAAGTGTGAGTGCAGCGCTACTGGTGATACTTGTAGAGCTAATGGATGGGGCTGTTAGGTTGCCTCTGAGGGGTTTCCAAGAGCCCTCAGAACATACAAGTGATGTGTGTATGTCCATGTGTATGTAAGAAGGGAGGTGGTGAGCTGGTGAAGACCATGGGCAAAAGCAACTAATCAAATGCTTTGACTTGAGTTTCTTTCCAAAGAAGTAAATAAGCAGGGTGTAAATGAGATAAGAATGCAGGTGGGTGGATATCTGAAGCTAAGTGATCTTGGCAGCTTGCATGGAGCAGCATGTCTGCCAAGTCAGAGCACGGAGTTGTGGCCTGGCTGTCTTTCATACACCCCGCCAAGTCAGTACCTAGAAACGACCTCCACTGCCATGTCATAAGTAATCTGTGCGGTGACAACACCCCATACCTTTAGTCTAGGCCTCGCTGAATTCCAGATTCATTTACCCAACTGCTGCCTGCTTGCCACCTACACTCGGATGTCAAAAAGCATTTCAAATCTAGTATCTCCAATACTGAGCTACTGATTTCTCCACCCTCACCCTAACATGTTCACCCATAGTCGGCTCATCTCTGTTAATGACAACTGTCATCTTTCCAGTTGCCCAGGCCGAAAACCTCGAAGTCGTCTTCGATGCTTCTCTCCCCTACCCCGTGTGTACCCCATCAACAAATCTGTTTGCTTTACCTTCAGAATCCATCCGGGATCCAACTCCTTTTCACCATCTCCACTATCAAGTTATCAGTGAGGACTTCCTGGCCACTGATTTTAAATCTAAGTCGCTACCCTAGCTACAAGCTCACTCCTTTCCTTTCTATTTCCTTTCCAGCTCTCACTGCCATCTAACGTACTGTGTCTTACCTTGTTTATTAATTAAGCTCTATAAGGGCCAAGATTGTTGTCTTTTGTAGCTGCAGTATCTGGAATTACATTTCAGTAATTGTTGAATGAATGTATGGATATCATGCAGTAATTTTGCTGCTAAGCAAGCCAGGTCACCCGAATGCCTGGGTTCTGAGCCTTGCAGTACTTACTCAGGCCTGGGTATTTATATCTGTGCTCATTTGGGGGTTCTCCAAGTGTACTGGCCATGGCCTTCTCCAAGAGCACTGGCACAAAGCAGCAGCATTAGGGAAAAAGGGCCAGAGGTGCCAAAGTCCAGGTCAGGAAGGCCCGCAGGGCATCATGGCCCCTTCCCACCCCCAGTGACCAGGATCTGGGCAGGGGGCCTGGCCTCAGCCTTCTCAGTGCCCCGCAGTGGGACAGGGATGGTTGTTAATGCACTGAGAACTGGGTTGGTTGGCAGGACCCTGCCCTGAGCAAGGAGTGCTGGGAGTATAGAGGAACGCCAAGTCCGTCAGCCTTGCATTTCCCAGCTTCCCTGCCTCTGTGCTTTCCTTTATTGCCTCCCTGCTTTCGTCCCTGAGCTACATCTTCCAGGAAGCCTTTTCTGACCATTCCCAATCCTACAGTGATCATCGCTTCGTCTGAGTTCACATAGTCATTCCTTTATTTGTTCATTTATTTATTCATTCACCTACCCTCTGACCCATATTGACATCACTCCTATATATTATCTATCCCTCCATCCACTCATCCAACAAATACTTGTCTAGTATCTGTCCTGTGCTGAGCACTGTTCTAAGCACTAGGGACACAGCAGTGAACAAGAAAGGTAATCTCGATCCTCCTGGTCCTTAGAGTGTAGCAGCAGAGACATAATAAAAGCTTAGATACATTAATAAGCATATAGTGTATTCCAGGAAGTGCTATATTCCTTGAAGCAAAGTAAAGCAGGGTGAACATGAGAAGGATGATCAAGACCGCTGAGGAGGTGGTGAATGAGCAGTGAAGAAGAAAATTACATGAAACCCAAAGGAAGAGCATACCGGTCAGAGGGAACAGCAAGTGCAAAGCCTGCAGCAGGAGCATGCTAGTGTGTTTGCAAAACAAGAAAATCTATGTAGCTGGAGCTAAGGGGGCTTGGGGTGAGACTGGAAAAGGTGGCAGGGGCCAGGTGGAAGAGGGTCCTGTAGTCGAGGACTCTGGGTTTTATTCTACATGAGATGGGAAGCTCAGGAGTAACAAGCTCTGATTTACACTTATTTGTTAATTTACTTTTTTTTTTTTTTTTGCCTTCTGTTGCACAGAATTGGGTTAACAATTCTTCACGATGCTTTCATCATTGGTGCATGCGTGGCCCATTTTCATATGTATGCATGTATTTTGAAGCAATGAGCTCCCATGAACCTACTATCCCACAAGAAAAGTAGCACCTTGATAGTAACTCATTTGATGTTTACAAGATCACCCTGATTGCTGTGTGGAGTCTATAGGAGGAAAGAATGGACACTGGGAGGTCAATAAGGAGGTGACAGGGTTATCAAGAAATGGGACCTGGGGTGGTAGCAGTAGAGGTGGCGAGAATTGATGGAGTTTGGGATAAATGTCGAAGGTAGACTCCCCAGGACTGACTTTTGGATTGAGTATGGGGTGGATTCTATGAATGCATGCATTCAAGGATTAATCCACTAACTATCCACTCAGTACTTGCTGCTACATGCTTAAAATATGTTGTCTTTTGCAAAATATACACCTGACATGGTCCTTGCCCTGCTCACAGCCGAGAGGCAGAGACAGATAAACCTAAAGGACATTGGAATAAGCACTGTGATCCAGTGAATCCAGGGAAGCGTTGATTCATTTTTCTGGGAGAAAAGAAAAGGATAGTTATGTATGACCCGGCACAGAGCAGGTGCTTAGTTCTTGTCCCATCTCTTGAATTGATGTGATTAAACACTTTAGTGTATGTTGTTTTTATTTTAAAATAAATACTTTTAATAGTCATATTTTAAAAGCTGTATAAGCTTCAGAGACTAGAAACTATTTTGCATACCAGTCAAAAGCTAGCCTCACTTAATCTTCCAAAGCTCAAATCTCTGAGTAACAGTTAAGCACAGGAAAGGTAATGGTAATGTAAAGGTAATGGGGAAAGGTAAAGGTAATGGGGAAAACAGGGAAAAACTTGACCTTTCTATCTCTCTCTATATTCATTCCTACCTTGAGCCCAGGGCAAGTTGGGCTGCTCAGCACATTCTTCCTGACGTGATTTCACATGATCTAGATTAGCTCCTGGCCAACTAGAGATGTCAGGACATCTGAGGGGTCTGGGCATGGTAAGCACACAAGAAAGACACCAATGACACCACCAAGGATGGGTCTCAACTGGGAATCTCAGATTTTGGCTCTGAGTCTTGCCGTTTCATCTCCGGCAGCAGTTTTCCTGTCGACAAGGGGAAGTGGTTGGACTAGATGGAGGACAAGAAGAGAGGGTTATGGGGGGAGGGAGGGAGGGAGGAGGGCGTGGTGGTCAGGGCAGACCCCATCTGGCATTCAAAACATTACGTATATTGAATATTATTCAACCTTAAAAAGAAAAGAAATTCTGACACATGCTACAACATGGATAAACCTTGAAGACATTATACTAAATGAAATAAGCCAGACTAAAAGGACAAATCCTGCATGATTCCACTTATAAGAGGTAGCTGGATTCCACTTATAAGACATACCTAGAGGAGTCCGAACTCATGGAGACAGAAAGTAGAATAGGGGTTGCCAGGAGCCGGGGGCAAGGGAGGAATGTGGAATTAGTTCGAATGGGTAGAAAGTTTCAGTTTGTGAAGATGAAAAGTTCTGGAGATGGATGGTGGTGAAGGTAGCACAACAGTGTGAGTCTACCCAATGCGACTGATTCTAAATACCATTCTAAATTGTGCACTTAGATGCGGTTAAAAGAGTAAATGTTATGTTGTATATATTTTACCACATGCAAAAAAGTAAAACCCTTGTTTTTCCAGGATTCCTCTAGGTAGGGAGGGGAGTCACGCCCCGGCT